TGCCTAGGAAAGATGATGATGATGTTGAGGGGGGATTGGAATTTTTGCAAATAAATGAAACACCCTCAATAGATGTTCAAAAAGATGGGGAAAGCACAAACAATATTCAAGAGCAAGAACAAGAAGAACTCCCCATAGCATGGAAATTTGCATCAAATCATCCAAAGGAGCAAATCATTGGAAATCCCTCACAAGGGGTTCTAACTCGCTCAAAGGCTTTGAGTGAGTGTGGTAATGTTGCCTTTCTATCTCAATTAGAACCTAAGAAGATAAATGATGCTTTACATGATGGATTTTGGGTTTTAGCTATGCATGATGAACTAAACAATTTTCGAAGAAATGATGTTTGGAAACTAGTTTCTAGACCTAACAATGCTAGTGTAATAGGAACAAAATGGGTTTTTAGAAACAAACTTGATGAACATGGCATTGTAACTAGAAATAAAGCTCGTTTGGTTGCCCAAGGATACAATCAAGAGGAGGGCATAGACTATGATGAAACATTTGCACCGGTTATAAGGTTAGAATCTATTAGGATGTTTTTAGCATTTGCTAGCTTTAAAGATTTCAAATTGTTTCAAATGGATGTTAAAAGTACGGTTTTATAGAAGAGGAAGTATATGTTGAGCAACCCCCTGGTTTTATGGATCATGCTTTTCCTAATCATGTTTATCGGGTTTAAAAAGCTTTATATGGGTTGAAACAAGCTCCTAGAGCTTGGTATGCTCACCTCTCTAGTTTTCTTCTTGAAAATGGTTTCTCTAAAGGAAAAATTGATAATACTCTTTTTGTGAGAAAAAGGAAAAATGATTTTATTTTAGTGCAAATATATGTTGATGATATCATTTTCGATGCTACTAATGAATCTCTTTGCAATTATTTTTCTAAAGTTATGCAAGATCATTTTGAGATGAGCATGATGGGAGAGCTCACATTCTTTCTCGGGCTCCAAGTCAAGCAAACTAAGGATGTGATATCCATTTCTCAAAGCAAGTATGCTAGAGAATTGGTGAAGAAATTTAATTTGGAGAATTCTAAGCATGCACTAACTCCCATGAGTACAAGTGTCAAGCTTGATGCGGATGATAGTGGTGAGGATGTGGACTAAAAACTATACCGAGGTATGATAGGTAGTCTTCTTTATCTCACCGCTAGTAGACCCGATATCATGTTTAGTATGTGTGCATGTGCACGTTTTCAAGCTTCTCCTAAAGCATCTCACTTGATTTTCGTTAAGAGAATTATTAAATATGTTCATGGAATAATTGATCTTGGTTTGTTTTATCCAAAGAGCACCTATTTTGATTTATATGGTTTTTGTGATGCCGACTTTGCCGGATGTAAGGTAGATCGCAAGAGTACGAGTGGAACATGTCAATTCTTGGGAAATTCTCTTGTTTCTTGGGCTTCCAAGAAATAAAATTGTGTTGCATTGTCCACTACGGAAGCGGAATACATTACCGCCGGCTTATGTTGTGCCCAAGTTTTGTGGATGAAACAAAGTTTAGTTGACTAAGATTTGAATTTTCAAAATATAAAAATCTTTTGTGATAACACTAGTGCTATCAATATTTCAAAAAATTCGGTTTTGCATTCTAGAACCAAGCATATTGATGTGCGCCATCATTTCTTACGCGATCATGTAGAGAGACAAGATGTATCCATTGTGTTTGTTGACACAAAATCTCAATTAGCGGATATCTTTACCAAGCCTATTGGTGAAGATGATTTTTGTCACATAAGAAATGGTTTGGGCTTATGTACTATGTGAAAGTTCTATTTGCTTGCTTGATTAGTTGCATTTCACATGCATTTCTGTTTATATTTTTTTTACCCCATTTTGATGGTGACAAAGGGGAAGAGAAATCTCCTCATTTGTGCACATAGTAAGGGGGAGCTCATAGATAGGGGGAGTTACTATCTATAAGCTATATTTATTTTACTCCTATATAATGGTTGGTTGTCATCATCAAAAAGGGAGAGATTGTTAGCCTTATTATTTTAATGATGTTTTACAACCACCATTATCGGTACTAATTGCTTGTTGAGTGATAATGTAGTTAATATATATATCAAGCATGTTAGTGCCATACATGGAGGATTGGATGGAATATGCGCTACAACGATGATATCCAAAGGAGGAGGAGGCATAGTGATAAAGCAATGTTTATTCAAGAATACCAAATGCAATAAGAAGCTTCATCAAACTCAAGCTATATCAAGACTCAAAGAATTGTAATTCCTAGTGTTAGAATGTAGGCAAGTAGTTTAGATTTTATTTGAAGCTATTGGGATATCACACACACGTTTTTATGCTTATAGTTTTGAGCGTTTTCACAAAATATCATTTTTCACAAGTATGAGGACCTATTCGCAAAATTTATTTTCTAAACAATTTGTTTTTAGTGTTAAAATTTTTTTACAAAGTTTCACAATTTTTGGAAGTCAATTAAATATTTTACAGATTTTTTAAGAGAGTCAAAAACAGTATTTGCATGTGTATCAGTTTGCGGTCGACTGCCACGGTCAACCGCGCCTGAGTTCTTTTCTGAGTGGGCAGCAGAAAATTCCCACGGTCGACCGTCACGGTCGACCGTAGAAGTCTCTGGAAGTTTTCCAAGTTTTAAAGCTGGCTCGCGGTCGACCGCGAGAATTGTACGGTCGACCGCCGCTTATTCAAACGGTCTTTTGGGTACAGATTTCAGCGCCGATTTTTCTAGGATTTGGGGGATTAGGGTATGGGTTTAAACAGCTGTATTTTCTCCTATTTAAACCCCCTATACTCCTTATTCCTCAAGTGTCCCAAGCTTTTGAAAAACCAGAGATCTGTTTTACTAAGAGCCAAAATTTTCAAACCTGATTTTCTTTGTTTTCAGTTTCACTTCCCAGCTTCAGTGTAATCTTTCTCCTTGCCATATGGACATTGTAAAGAGAGAGTTTTTACACCATTACTACTGTTGAGAGCTTGATCTTGTGAAGCTTAACTGTGTGGGAGTGTGATCTTGTGGTGATCAACTGTGTAGTTGTGAGATCTTGTGGAGATTGTTGTGTAGAAGAAGTTTCGGCTTCCAAACCGGGTTATGTAGTGGATTCTTCTCGAGAGTGGGGAGCGGGGACGTAGGTTAGCGGGCCGAACCTCGTTAACACATCGCGCGTCACTTGGATAATGATTTCTCACTCTATCTCCTTTATATTTGTTGTTCATTATTGTGGTGTATTGCTTACCTTATTTTTATTGCACAATTATAGCGTTAAGACCCTAATCACCCCCCTCTAGGGTCCAACAATATATGCGTTGGTATTGGGATATCACACGTAGATGGATCACGCGTGACCCACAACCATCAGCTGGACACATGCCACGCCCACCGACAGACAGTTACATCCCTAGTGGAATGATCGAGAGAGATTATGTAAGTTTCTAAGCTACATTATAATATTTTTATTGAGTTGGTACTTAATAAATTGTTTACCTCGCAGATCCGTGCTTTTGATAGCATTGAAGGTGATATTGATGCACACATGCCTGAGATTCAGGATTCGGTGGCGTTAGGACTCCTCAGCAGGATCAAGAAGACAATAGCACAGATGTTTCATAAGACTCACGTCGACAAGTTTGCAGGCTGTGAGGACAGGTCTTGATCATTTGGGCAAGCGTACACGTGACGACAACGTACACGTGACGATGAAGCCAGCACTTCGCATGCTGATGGAACCGGCACTTCGCACCCTTATAGAGAGGGAGAGGAAGGATAGGATCTATTTTGGGTTGTATGTGAGCTTATTTTGTCAAAATTTGTAACTTTTATGAATTTTCAAATACTATACTTTTGTGGATCAGTTATTGTTTATATATGTACTCTTTGTGAGAATTGTTTGATTCGTGTTTAATTCATGGTAGAATTATGTATATATTGTTGTAATTCAGTGTATATGGGATCAATTATTGTTAACATGTAAATATAACGTATATGAGGTACGTTACGTACAGAACATGCACAGGCTGCTGTGCATGTTTGTAAAATCTACAACTCCACGGGAGTTGAACTCCCGTGGAGTTGCAGTCGAAAATTTTCTGAGAGTTGGCTCTCTGAAAATTGGACTGAAACACCACGTGAATTCAACTCCTGTGGAGTTTTTGGCATGTTACAAACTTCACGGGAGTTGAACTCCCGTGAAGTTTGTTCAGCAAATACAACTTCACGGGAGTTCAACCCTCGTGAAGTTTGTTCAATCAACAAAATTTCACGGGAGTTGAACTCCCGTGAAGTTTTAGCAGATTGTTAAAAATCTGCTAAACTTCACGGGAGTTGAACTCTAGTTAAGTTTCGGAATTTTTTTTCTTCAAAAAACGACATGGTTTCAGCGCCAGGACTGAAACCAGGTCGGTTTTTGAAATTAAGTGCAAAAGAGGTCGGTTTTTGGGATTAAATGTTGAAAGGGGTTGGTTTTAAAAATTTGTCCGAATATTTATAGATCCATTCCCGTTTTAACAACTTCGAGTAGGGAGTAGGTGTATTTTATTGTTATTTGATATATTTTACTGTAAGCGGTTAGATATTCAGAGTACTTAAATTCTTAAACCATTTTTTATGTTGCTCTCGCGCTTTGCTCGTTAACTATCTAGATCAGTCTGAAGTGTCACGCCCACACGTTTTCTTCACATAGGTACTTACAAATAAATTTCGTCCTGTATCGAAACACCACGGTAAAAACTTTCCACAGTCGTGCATCTACGAGAGCAATGTCTGTGATATTTAATATTAAGAATGCTCAAACCATTGTGCTCTCTTTACGTAATCAAAACGTTAGAGCTCCAACTAAACGATGACCATAACAGACCAGAAAAAATCTCTTCAAATTTGATCAAAATCCTCCTTAACAAGTCACTCAAGAAGAGGGAAGAGACAGAACACCACCAATTAACACGCATCTTTCCGAACTTGCTTGTGGTTTATTCTCAAATATATCAAACTCTGTTATATTACAATGATACAATCCCACGCAAGCTCTACGAGAGGCTTACGTAACTTATTACATCAATTTGTCCAACCCCATCACCAACCACAATCCATATTAGTACTCAAAAACAGAAGATAAAGAGACTTGGAACACGAGAACGAACAACTCACATGGACAGAGTTTACTTTTAAAGGTAAATCAAAAGATCTTCAACCCCTTTCTTCTTCTGTTTCTTCACCAACGGGTCGATCACACTTGTCCAAGTTTTGTAGTCAAGAGCAGAGCCAGCATCAGGCAGAGCAAATCCATTGACAAAGAAGAATGGTGTACCATATACACCTCTTGAACACCCATACTAGAAAAAGAACAGTAGTATATATTAAAATATAGAAATCTCAGCAAATACTTACGGTGAAAGGTTAAGAATCAAGGATAATCGTTTACCTTGAATGAGATTCTTGCTGCTGCATCAGTACTCTGGTCTTCAAAACCAGATTTAAACGCAGGTAAAAAGGAATTTCCAACGGTCATAACAGCGAAATTCGCCATGTCATCAATTGTAGATGCCCTGGACTGGTTGTGAGTTTGTGCATTCGAATACCTCACCTGTTGTCTCGGTTAGTGAGTTGCACGGATGCGAGAAAAACTGAGGATAGTATTGCAAATTTAGTGGACATTGTTGGACATTTTGACCAAATAAACCAAGTCAAGCCCAAATATTTGTGGGGTCTGGGATCCAATAACCCACTTCTCAAAGGTGGATTTGTAGAGGGGACCGTGGAGTTTGTTATTTGGTTGAGAAAAATCTGACAGGGAGGCAGCTTATTTGTGGAAGATTTGGTTAGAGGCAAAACTCTATAAAAGGAGAAGAAACTCGGTTGGTCAGAGGTAAAACTCTATAAAAGGTGAAGAAACTCCTTTGTGATACACAATGAGAAGTAATCTGATCAATAAAACCCCATGTAAACCGTCTCCCTCCCTTTCTATTAGATATTCCATATTCACTAGTCAGACCATGAAATTAATCATCTAATCAGATATGAGATATCACAATATCATAGCTTTGTTCCTATTTGCAATACTTTTAGGTGTAAGAAAGAAAATTTGCAAAGTGCTACAGAAAATTAGCGTTTAAGAATGTAATACCAGTCGGGTTCAAGGTGTTTTATATCTGATCTAGAAATCAAATCACGTTACATGGAAATTAAAAATATGTACCCAGATGATCCAAGCACTGAAGTATAGCAAAAATTGCTTCATTGAAAAAATCAAGATGGGTTTTATTTAGTCTCCTCTTTCATAAACCTATTTGAACTAAGCCCCTCATCTGAAGAAGTTACGTCTAGGCATGTTGACAATGTTGCAAGTATCATCTCATATGTCACGCTAAAGCTATGAACCATAGCCCAGTAATATGGGAATCCGAAAACGCATCACACATATTCTCCGGAATAGAATGCACCTATTTTGCGATAGGTTCTAGCCACATCACGTGCCAAAAAGATCACATCACATATCAGTGCATCCAATACCATATGACAGGAAGAAACACGTCACCAAATAGTGTACCTTTTAGGGTTTTTAAACCATTGGTAATCTATGTTTCAATGACACATCCCTTGTATCAGAATGATATTGGTATAAACTTGATCACTTGATCAAAATCAATAAATACTTCCAATTCAACAAAAGAGTGTAAAACTCATCATATCAATCAAAACAGCTTAAAGAATTCAATTTATTGTTATTATTGATTTTAAATACCAAATCTTGAAAATGCGTAACACTGTCCCAAATTCATTTAAATTACTTCTTTCTCCAATAGCTTTCAAATAAAACAATAATCACATTTATTTGATAACGATGAATCTAAAATCCTTATTATATATTACACGGAATCAAATTATGTGGATAAACCACAATAGCACAGATCCAATCACATTATATACATACATACATAAACATATCTATGTATATACATATACATATATATTTGTACATATACATATATGTATATATGTGTGTGCATGTGTGTAGTAGCGATATGGTGAGATGGTGAGCTCAATTTCTTAACATGAGCTAGCCAATCTCCACCATTGGATTTAATCCAATGGTTATATCTATTACTAGGTCATTTAATTAATTAGAAGTAGACCCCACTATTATCAGACTTTCTATGTTAAGGATCTCACATAGATCTCCCTTCCAATAATGAGTCATCTATGTGCCCTATTCGAATTCCACCTAACATGCCGATGTGCTTCTATCTTCTTCGACCTCTAGCCTCAAAATCCAGGTTATTATCATGGCCATTAACATCCACAAGTCAAATTTAATAGTTAGAGTGCTTTTTATTCTTTGTGTAACAATCAGCAAGGCTCCTACATAATTCGTGAACAGTATTTCCGAGGAAGTCGATGATGATGCAACCATGATACCTTATTCTAATAACTTGCAAAAAAATGAAAGAATTGGAACTGATCAGTATTTTCACTTATTATATATGTTTTTCAAAGTATTGAGAAATTTTGACTTTGCAAGGATATTTGCAAAAGATTTTTTACAGCATCAATGATTCGGCATTGAAGACAAGGAAGAAAGGATAGCGACATTGAAGAGAAGAAAGAAAGGAGAGCGCCTTTGGAAAGAAAAACTTTAGGGATATCACTCGTTCATAACAAAAAATATGAGTGGGGTCCATTGTTTTAAATTAACCATCTTGATAAAATCCCTAACCATTAATTTAGATCTAATGGCCAACATTGGCTAGCTCATGTTAATGATTTCATACTTTTTTAAACAAGATACCAATATTCAATCTAATATAATACTCATGTGATTTATATTTTAAAAATAACTAGTGAGAAATGCACTCACATCTTAACCGATTGAGTGTCCAATTTCGCTCCCTTCCGACATCAATAAAGTTCTTTAGTATAAAACTAGAGAGTTGATACCAATTTAAGTAGACTTATACTACATGGTTATTATTGATATTAGAAATTTATTATATATTCCTCTAGTAAAGTATCAAATAAATATGGTACTACTAGTACTATTATATTTGGCAGAATATAGTCTCAGGAACATTTTCCTTAGAGATTACTAGGTGGATGGCGGCAAGGTCCTCATCGGATCTAGTGTTTTTTTAATCAACCAATCTTATTCCATAGTCACCATTCAAAACAAAATCAAAACCTCTTCATCATCATGAACCAACCTAGAGAGATTTAATTAGGCAAGGAGGAAAAGGATTACAACTTAGGGCTTGAGTTGAAGTGTTTTTTACCCTTTTCTATTTTTACTTTCTTGTAGTTCTTCTTATCTTCCCCTTGAGAAGGTGCTACACTCTCTTTCTAATGGTAAAAAGATATCTACCTATTGAGGTGACAATAATCAAGCAATGTGATTACTTGCTAGGGTTTACCACACTCCGCCTCCTAATAAAAAAATTCGCCCTTGAAACTTGGCATAACTTGATTCTCGAAGTTCTGGTCCTCTCGGATATTTCTCCCGTACAGAATATTCGGTCTCCTAAGTGGCTTCCCTTTTAGAGTGATGTTTCCATTGTACTTTCACATATCAAATAGTTTGATTGTCTAAGTACTTGTTCTTGGGAGCCACCATACACTCTGGTTTCTCTTTGTTATTCAAGTCTAGCTTGAGTCTGCCAACTTTAATTCGATGAGCTCATTTGTGTCTCTCTTATGAATTTTCACTACATTAATATGTAAAATACATCATGCACTCCATCAAACAATGGAGGCAAATAAACTTGTACGCTACTTAACGAATTCGTTTAAAATTTTCAAAAGGGTTGATGAATCTTAGACTTAATTTTTCTTGGATAATCTTCTCACTTCACAAGTAGGAGAAACCCATAAGGAAACATAATCACCACAAGAAATTCAAATTCTCTCCTACAGTTAGCATAGCTCTTTTGTTGGCTTTGTGGAATTTGAATGCAATTCTCTTGTTAAATATTGTTTATGGCTTGTTGCACCATTTCTGATCGAAGAAGTCTTCTCTCTCCAACGTTTTCCAAATGGATAAGAAACTTACACTTCCATTTAGAAGCTCATACGGAGCCATATTAATACTAGATCGATAGATGTTGTCGTATGCAAATTCTGCTAAAGGTAAATAATCTTCACATGCTCCTTTCATTTCAAGCATACAACATCTTAACATATCCTCTAGAGTTTGAATTATTATTTTCGATTGGTCATCTGGTTCTAGATGGTAAGTTGAGCTAAAAAGTTAGTTTAGTCTATAGAGTCCTATGTATAAACATAGAATCCCTGATTGATACTATGGATTAAACGTGACTCCTAGTATCAAACAAATTTGATGATCGAACCACTACCTATTTGAGTTAGTATCCAAGACTATACTCTAAGGAAGATGGTCTTAGATTATATTCTAAATTGGCAAATACGGTAGTACTATAGATTAAATGTATTCCAATAAAGTAGGTTCTACTAACATATTTACCTAATACTATGGATTAAATGTGAAATTCAGTATCAAAGATTATGTACGAGGGAAGTATCTGAAACTTTTCAAGAAGTACAGTATATCAAGTTTGAAGAAGAAGTACAGTATATCAAGTTTGAAGATGAATTTTTTTATTAGAAGGGGAGGGTGTAGTATCCCTAGCAAATAATCAATTTCATTTCTCTTAAAAAGAGCAACCTACACAAATCACAAAATTTTAAGAGGTGTTACGCAAAACTTGCATATTCCATATTTTGCTCACCGCCACCTCATTGGTTGATGGCTCTTTGGCATTAAAAAGGAAGTGTGACACCTCCTCAAGAGGAAGATAAGAAGAGGAAAAAGAAAGTAAAAATAAAAAATAAAAATAAAGAAAAAAAATGAAAAACCTACCCGATTCTCCCCAAATCATCTACTTTTGCTTGAATTTGAGTAAGGATGAGAAAGGAAAGAGAAGGAGGAGTTGTCAAATTAACACTCCAACTTAAGCCCTAAGGTATAATCTTTTTTCTCATTTGACCAATTAAATCTCTAGCATGGTCGATGATGAAGTGTTGACTTTTCTTTGAATAAAGATTATAGAATAAAATTGTTTGATTTACCAAATGAGAGAAAACCCTAGATCCGATGAGCGTATGGCCATCACAAGCTAGGAAGGGCCGACGGCTAAGGTTGCAATAGTGGAGAAAAAGGGGGGGAAAAGGTATCCGACAATTGATGAAGAGGAGGAAGATAAAGAGAGGGGGAAATAAGTTTGACCTTGAACTGTTGTCAAAATTTTATTTATAAGTCCAAATCAGTGAATAGGATGTAGTAATTGAATGAATAATTTATGTTAACCCTTGGGCTCACAAAATATTTTTGATGAGCCCAAATTTAATAAGAAAGTACATATATGGAATAGGAAAACTTCATTTAGCCTCAAGTTCACAAAGATTGTGAACATGTCCAGATAGAAAGGACTAAGACTATGAATAAGCAAGGATAATTATATACGGATCCCTAAAGTTCACAAACATTGCAAAAAGGCCCAGACTGAGTGAAGAAGTGTAGGATATGACTAGGAAAAAGTTAGTTTAAGCCACTAAAGATTTCGAGGATTGCGATTATGTCCAGGCAGTGTATAAGAGGGTTATAAATTGAAGAGGATAATTATGTGTAGCGTCTGAACTGGAAATAATTTTTAATAGGTCCAAATTATTGAAGAAGTGTTATTAAAATTATAATACATTTCTAAAATTAGTAATGACCCTATGTGAATCTTTTTATGGGTCTTAACCACTATTTAACCAACTTGGACTTAGATTATAAAGTGACTAACCTATAATATGTCTACCTTAAATTGGTATTAATGACCTTGTTGATAACAGAAAGGATCGAAATTTGACAGTCAATCGTTTAAGTGGTGAGTGCATTTCTCACTGGTTATTTTTAAATTATAAATCTTATAACAATATATTGAATTGAATACTGATGCCGTCTGAAAAATAACTACTCCATTACTTTTTATATATCTACATAATAAAATGTAACAAAATTGATACTATTGGGGTTTATCCCTATAAACGATTTTGATTTATATGAAATATGATAGTGATTTTGGTTTTCGTGCATTATCAAGTAAGTATGAATAACATTTTCTTCAGAAGCTTTTGAAGAAAGAAGTGATTTCAATGTGTTTTTGACAGTTTTACTGATTTCACGAGTTTTTTTTTGCTTTGGTATTTAAAAGCAATAATAAATAAAAGTGAATTCCATAAACAGTTTTTATTGATATGTTGAGTTTTACACTCATCCATTGAATTGAAAGTGTTTATTGATTTGATAAAGTCATCAAGTTTATACTAATATTGATCTGTACAAGTGATGTTTTATTGAAATAAAATATTTGACAATGATTCTCTATGTTATAAAACAGCAAAAAGGCCATTATGGATTTATGTATGGTATTGAATGCATCAATAAGTTATGTAGTCTTTTTAGCATATGTGATGTGGCTAGCAACCTATGATAATGTTTGGTGCATTCTATTCCCAATAGTAAGTGTTAAGTGATGTGTATTCACATTCTCATGCTATTGGGCTATAATTCGTAGCATATGTGATCATATCTATTGAAATTTGTGTTCAAGCGTCCGACTGTGACTTTGAGAAAACAATAATTGTTTTTGTTGCACAAACTCAGAATACTTTCTAGACTAGCCAACCCAGTGGAGAGAACAAGAATTCTCAAGTCAAAGCTTGGGTGTACTCTCTGAATGAGAAGGAAGATGAACCAAACAAAAAGAAGTGGTGACAAGTACGATATGTCTAGCATTTGCTCATGCTTGAGGACTTTTTGATTCTGGTGTTTCACATTCTTTTATTGTTGCACAACTTGTTAAGAAGAACAAATTACCAAGTGATATTTGAGAACAAGAATTGCTTGTTAGTAACCTGTAGCAGTGTATTACTATCAAATCAAGGTTGTAGGGATGGAATCAAGATTCTCGACACGGTGCTTCTAGCAAAATTGGTAATACTAGAAATGTAGGACTTTGATATTATGCTAGAGATGAATTAGTTATCTTCAAATGATGCTTCTATTTTATTTCAGGAAAAGAAAGTAGTGTTTAAGTTTCCAAGAAAACCAGAGTTCTACTTTGAAGGTTGTAAATCCCGAGAACCCTTACGGGTCATTTCAGCTCTTAAAGCATATATATCAATCTTTGAAGAAGGGATGTAGGGAATATTTAGCTTTAGTCAGAGTTGTGAACAAGAAAAACACGTCTGGACCGCAAATTTCCAAGAGTATTTAACCACCTTCATCTTACTTTACATTTATTTTAGCATCTTAATCCTTTTTTGGCATTATTTGGGATAAGGATTACAATCCCCACAGATCATATTTAACATTCCACATGAAAAAAGAGCCACAAGTAGCTTTAACACCTGAGGACTTGTAAATTTAATGCATTGGTAGAAACTAGAGGATAAGGATAACTAACATTTCCCGTGTCCTAATAATTCAAATCTCCCTCAGAAATATTATTTTCTTCCTGTAGTTATCGTGGTACTTACAGCTATGAGAATCTTAGAGAAAATCATAAAACATGAATAACTTATGTAGCCAAAAAAAGTATTGACAGTTAAACTAAAGTGTATTTGTCATGGTGTTAGAATAAGAACGAGCAGGTTCAGGTGAGAAAAGAAACACCAATTATTCGTCAGGAAATAAATTATCTAACCTGATTCTTGAAAAATGACTCCAGTAAAGGATACGTTGCAGATGCATTCAACTTGTTTGCAATATGAAGGGCACGGCAAGAAAGATATGAATTGTCATGGTACCTATCATTTTCAAAATGACAATAATCAACCCTTCTATAAATACACGAAAATGCTCCAACCGTGAAGTCAGATTCTCTGTTACGGTTGGTCAGTCCCTCCATATTTTACTGTACAATGTATTTTTTTAATGGATAGTTTCACATGGTGAAAAATATATGCCAAGATGAAGGGTGAACATTAAGAAACAAACTTTCAGGAGGCCATATAAGAAATGATTTACTGAAAGCCTACGATTTTCTTGGAAAAATTCATGTAAATGGACAGTTGATCAAGCTGCAATTGAGTGCGATAAAGGTTTTCTGATGCCCGAGTTTTTTAGGACTTGGGCTGTATTTGAAGTTTACTGCCTAACCAAAGTGAATATTCCTCCTATAAGCCTCACTCTTGATATCTGATGTCAGGTTCAGAGTAATAGTAGCACCGCGATCTAGGCACTTTTTTATCTATCATTTATCAATTAAGTCTTGCTTAAAGTCATAAACATATGTTTGTGTCATGCAATTATTACTTTATAAGTATATGGTAAAAATAACGCAAAAGTACATGGACGTATGACTGGCCAACATGAAAATTATACAAACAATTTGGCATTATGGACACAGATATACAACACAAAGTAACTTATCACATGCCCAACGTAACAATTCAAACAGACCCTTTTCATCTAATTGGAACACATCTGCAACATAATCAAACTACTATAGGCCCTCGCGAAATCAGTTGAGCATATACTGTGGACAACTATCAATGAACTTGACATCTATCCTCTAAGAGTTCACGTCAAATTTACCGACATGCAAAACTTCATAATAGCATACTACAACATATGGAATACCGAATAGACAATGAACATGTTTTTTTCTGCAGTTTATGCTCATGAAACCAAGAAGATCTTTGAGATCGTCTTCCCTATGTTACATTCACGGCAGGGGGGAAAAAAAGAGAAGGGGTTGCATATGTAAGTACTTGGATTTATTTTGAGGCTCCAAAGAACAAATGGGAATATATTCCCTCAACTACTGTGAACAGTGCAAACATGAAAATAGAAACAATAATAAATATCAAATCAAATTAATTTTTCTCTTGGGAACCCTCACGGTCAACTTACGCAAGGTCTTGTATGTCATCATCGTACTTCCAAGTAACAATGTTCGGATAGAAACACATCATGCAACATGGTTCTTTGTACATTGGTTTTGCAGCCTTATGATGCAAGCTTTTCGACACATATCAATATCCTCTCACTAATGAATTTACATGGAAAGATCCGCAGCCCACTTGGAGAGTCTTTGCACTCACCTAAGGAGGGGAGGAATTTTCACTACCAAGAGCTTCTCGTAGAGAAAGTTGTAAATCCCTTCCATTACTCACTAAAACTGATCACACGAAAGGCTATGTTCTTCTATATATAATACTTGCTTGCTTAAAATCTAAAGAAACTAGATATATCTAAAAGACAAATGAAAAATTAGCTCCTTTATTGGTGAGACTACAGGATGAGAAACGAAGATATTAAACTAGATATATCAAAAAGAAGAAAGAGCTCTCTTCAACATCAAACAAAGAACTGTTAATGCCAGGAATCACCTACGAAACTCAATTTCAGCCATGACCCAGGTCGAAAAATATGCTATAGTCCACTAAAATCACCCAAAAAAAAAAAAAAAATTTAAGGATCTTATTTTTTATTTTGACCCAAAAAATTATGGAAGGGTCAAATACTTACGGTAAGGGAAAGGGGTGAACAATGAGGGAAACGTGAGGGGAATAATCTCGAATCACTTTCTTCAAAGGAGGCCAAGAGTCTCTGCTATCAGGACACAATGGATCCAAAAAGGCATCGACCAAAATGGATTCCGTTAAAGATACGAACCCATCTCCATACGGGAAGCCATCGTATTTTGATGGGATCTGGTTACATCTTCATTTTTTTTTATTTACCCGCTTTTAAGTTTTTAACGATGGATTTGGAGAAGGGAGATGAATAGGATAGATTCAGGTGTTTGCGAGAGCTTGGGATTTGCTTATCGGGATTTTTTTCGGAGTTGTTGGTGACGTTCGATTTTTTTCGGAGTTTTTAACGATGCAATCAAAGAGAGTTGAGGTGTCGTTTTCTCTGATTAAATATAGAGGGAGATGTCACTCTCTTCGAGGCATTTTTTAATGTTTAGTCATTCGTTCCATTTTGGTGCGCGAGGTCAGTATTATTAGGTAAACTTCACAAAACCCCCCAAAACATTGAGGCGCTTACCGCAAAGGCCTATTACTTTTAATTATCTTTCCCACTAGACCCAAACTCTTCCCCAAAGAGACCCTCAAAATGACACACCCACAGTGTGATACAGTGAGTTGTATAAAAGGGCAAATTCGATTTCCCCTTTTTTTTAATTGAGTCTTTTATCTGCTTTGTGTTATACGTAGTAGTTCTGCTATTTCGACAAGTTCTGATTTTGGTGATGGTTTTGTGATTCTAAATTGAGATCCGATTTTGATAGTTTTGTCAAATTTGCCTTGTTCTAATTAATTACTTCACAGATGATGAACGTTATGATGAGGAACATTAATCTATTTCAAAGATGATCATATACTTGAAACAAGCTCGTTCTCTTACTTTTCATGCTACATTCTGAACTACGGATATTCCGTAAAGTTATGTATTGCAATTCTGGACTTCGGAGATTTCTCACGTTTGAGACTTACTAAAATGTGAAGGGTTGGCATATTTGAATGAAAATCTTGTGTTCAGTTTTCAATAACTTTCTTAAAACACAACTTACAAACTGTTCAAGGGAATAATAAGAAAAGTATTTCAATGACACGCATCATTGCAGTTGAGGAGTATTTTGCTGATACCATCAATATTGTACCATCTGATGAAGAGAAGATACCAAGAATCGAGAGGTTATTACACCTCTTAAGCTTCCGAGGGTTTGCGGAAAAAGTTCGTTATTAGTCGTTAAGCGACAGTAGAAAATTAAAGATCATTATTATCTGTTGTTATGGATGCAGAATTAGAATATGTACAATGAATGTTTACAACGATACTCACCACGCCAGGTTGCTGGTCATTGCATCTACATGCGTAGGTCTTTTCGAATTTTCTTATGAATGATGACTGTCTTTACCCTGTGCATGGATATTGTAATAAATCTGCGGGATATAAATTGAAATGATCCTTCCGACGGAAAAGTTTCATTCAGATGGAACAATTAATGTTATAGCCATCCGTACTTTACATTTTATTCTTCTATTTAGACACAGTTTTCAGAAATACCTATAAAATTAAAAGGGAAAACCTATAACACAGAGCTGCACCAATGAGATTATAGAGAACTGTTTGAATTTCACAGTTCATCCTGTTTGATGCTTTACTTTTTTGCATCCTTCATTGCATTAGCATCAGTGGCTCATGGGTTTTTTTTTTTTTTTTTTTTTTAGAAGGGGGATCAGTGGCTCATGGGTTTTTTTTTTTTTTTTTTTTTGAGAAGGGGGGCATAAAAAAAATAAAAAGAGAAGGCAATCCATAAGCAGATGGCGAGGAAAAGTTCACCAACGAGAGATAAGGAGCGCGCATATAAAAATAGTTGCTCATAAACAAATATTAATGCAAATAGTAGCTCATAAACAAATATGAAGTGACGATACACAGCTCAAATGAAAAGGAAAATTTGCGACATACCATACGTGGGATGGCAATTGAACAGCCGTGCTGATGAAAGAAACATAGCTCTAAGCATCCAAAAAGGGGATAAAACGGCAAAAATGAACAGGCTCTCAGTCTGCAATTAATTGCATTTGCAGGTAACACAATAAGAGTAGTTAACAGATTTAGGGAGAGGGGTAAAATCTAGGTTTATCCTTCACAATGAGAGTCTATATCCATCCAGTCATGGTGAAATCTCACCACAATGCACGTAATGTTGTCTGCACTGCCACGAGAGAAGGCAGTTTCCATCAACTTCAAGGCAGCAGCCTCTGCTTCTTCTTCCATACTTGCAATGGATATAGCATCCTGATAAAAAATAAAAAAAATAAAAACAAACATGCGCGCGCGCACAAACACACATGAAATAAAATACAAGGTTAATAAAATCAAATTAAAGAATGTACAGTATGCAAGAACATGAAAATCAAGACTAAGAGTTACAATGTTGCAGCAAGAAAGTGTATTTTTCTTCCAACATGCCTTGTTTCCCTTTTCTCCATAAGAATAGGAAAAGGAAGTGTGAAATAACATATATTTCCACTTTGGATAGGATGAAAAAAAAAAACAAAGTGGCTATTCTTGATAGAAGACCATCAGATCCAGGTTTTGAGATCATTGGCATATAGTCCAGAAATCTTCAGACTCTGTTCCAGAGTTGATTTGAGATCACAATCTTTTATCAGA